AAGACAGGCTTAAAAAGTGTCAAGATAGGAGAAGCAGCTTCCGCTGCAAGAGGCAGCAGATGAGTTCCCATACACTAAGAAAATCACTGAAGAGAAGGAATGTCTGCATGAATAATTTATAACTACAGACAAAACTGTCCTATTCTTGAAAAAAGTATACTTATTTGTAATGAAGAGAAGTGAGCACCAGGATTTAAGGCAGCAAGAAATAAAGCCGACTCTACTGACTTATGTACATACAGTCAGATTTATGATCAGGACTGTCCTTATCAATAAAGCTGCTAACCCTTGAGGCTTGAACGGAGGATAAACACCAGTTGCAAGTCTTTTGGTTGTACAAGAAAGACTGGACAACTTTAACCCTTTTTCTGGATTGGTTCCATTAATGCTTTTTCCCTGAATTCAGAAAGTACCTTGCCAGTAAGAGACTGTCTTTTATGTTTTTTTGATATTTGACAATCCCCTGGCCAACCAGAAATCTGTAGGCTCAACATTAAAGGTGTTCAAGTGGTCTACTTGCCCCCAAACACATTATCTCTAATTCAGCCTCTCAATTAGGAGGTTATAAGGACCTTTAAAGCTCCATGCACATGGTACTTACTCTATGGAAAGAATTGCCAATGCTGTGAAAGACAATCCAGATGGAGAGAACATCATGAAACTCTGGAAGAATTACACCACTGCAGATACCATTGTTGTTACCAAAAAAAAAAAAAAAAAAAAAAAAAAAAAAAAAAAAAAGCCGTGAAAGCCATCAAGCCCGAAACAATAAATTCTTGCTGCAGAAAACTATGTCCAGATGTTCTGGAAAACTTCACAGGATTTACAACAGAACCAATCAAGGAAATCATGAAAGAGGTTATGGATATGGCAAAAAGGTGGGGGGCAGAGGGTTTCAAGATACAGCTATTGGAGAAATTCAAGAGCTAAGACACCATACCATAGGAATTAACAGAACACGACTTGATGAAGATGTGTTTCTGAACCACACCAGATGATAAGCCAATGTAGAACCAACAGTGCCAGAACACAAATTAAAGTCAGGTATCTGACAGAAGGCTTCCGAATATTCACGGTTGCTTTTGACTTCGTTTATAGCATAGACCCCTCTGATACAGGCACTAAAAACTACAGCAAATGATCGAAAAAGGATGAGTACCACATACAGATATTTTTAGAGAAATGAAAAATCAAAAAAGTCGAATTACAATGTTTCCTTAAGGTTGTAGGTGTACCTATCTCTCATGCCTTCCCTTCTACCTCTTCCACTTTCTCCTCTGCTACCAATGAGATTGCAGGACCAATCCCCTCCTCAGCCTAATCAACGTGAAGACAAGGATGAAGACCTTTATAATGATGATCCATTTCCACCTAATGAATATTAAGCATATTTTCTCTTCCTTGTTTCCTCATTCTTTTCTCTAGTTTACTTTATTGTAAAAATACAGTATATAACATACAAAATATTTGTTAATTAATTATCAGTAAGCTATTAGTTGCTTTGCGGGAGTTGTAAGGTTATACACCGATTTTTGACTTCATGTAATAACTTTTGATTCTTGGGTTACTGGAGAATAGGCATCCCTAACCTGTTGTTCAAGGGTCAACGGTGTGTTTATACGGTATGCATATGTGTATGTGTGTGTGCGATAAGGCAATAAAAACAAAGAAATTATTAAAACAAAAGTTATGGTAGTGTTTACTTTTTAGGGGCAAAGAAGAAAATACAATTACTGAGGGGCTCAGAGGTTCTTCAGTTACTAGGACCATTCTATTTCTTAAGCTCAGAAAGGAAGTACTGGTATTGGGCAAATGCATTTTTTCTTTAAAAAAAAAAAACTGGACATTTGCATATACTTTTGTATAGTTCATATTTTAAAAGGATAAATACATATGCTTGTGAATGCATAGAAAAAATTTTAAAGGACTCAAAGCAACTTTTCTTTTTCACTTGTTTCATGAATGCTGTTCTTTGAAGTGTTTATAAAAGCTGCTAACACATAGGAGGATGTACTAGCTACAAAATGGCAAAAAAAAAAAAAAAAAAAAATTAGTAAGTACTCATTTGGTGCTCAATACTTTACTGGAACAGTCTACCTGTTATCAAAACTTAAGGTTAAGCCCCAAATCAAGTAACTTTTATTATGGAAACTTAAAAAATATGTTTTAACAATGAAAAAGTGTTGTTAATGTACAAAAATAGCCATTAGTTGTATGTAGTTTTTTTCTCATTAATACTAGTGATCCATAGTGGCATCATCTTCCAAGTTCAAAGAGTGGCAATAAGTGAAAAGAAAAAACTAGTAGAAGTGAGCATTAATTATTAATAAAATATATAATTTTGAAGAAGCAGAGTATAAATAGAAAAAAGAAAAATCAAAGAGATGTTCTTCAGAGATTTCTATGTTCCAATAGGTTTTGTGTGTAAGGGGCCACTAGTATCCAGTGATTATACCAGCAGAAAAATAGAGTACCCTTTGCTCTTACTGGAAGATAATGGTGCTGCAAGACCTAGAGTTTGGTGGATCAAGATCCATTCACACAGCCTACTAAATATGTATCCCTTAACTCTTTGCAATTTCAAATTATAAAGCAACAAGGAATGATGTAAGGAAGATGAGTGTGATATAACTGAAGAGTGTTTTCCTTACTTTAACTTGCGCTACATATTGCCTTAAGCCAGTAGTCCCCAACCATTTTGGCACCAGGGACTAGTTTCATGGAAGACGATGTATCCCCAGATGGGGAGTAGGCCACATTAGAGTCTCATGAATGTGCAACCTAGATCCCTCTCATGTTCAGTTCACAATAAGGTTCACGCTCCTATGAGAATCAAATGCTGTCACAGACTAGTACCAGTCCACAGCCCAGAGGCTGGGGACTCCTGCCATAGGTAACCATCTGAGCATGCTTCCTCATCAATAATATATAAATAATATCACCTAAATTTTAGTATTTCCAGGCTTAAGCAAGGCATTTAAATGTTAAGGCTCCTTTCCTTCTCCTTATTTAGAGAAACAGAGGACATGAAAAAGCCTGACATGTGATAAATACTACTGGCTTCCTATGACACACAACAAATACTTACTATTGGCTTTCTATTCTTCTTACCTGGGGCTTTTACTAGTCCACTAGGGCATATTTAATAACTGTTTTTAACTGCTGAGCTATGTAATCATCCAGAAACCTTTGTTAGCTATTAATGTGGCTTGGTTGAGCTATAGTCTTAAGCGGTGATTAATGATGTCACCAGGTAATAACTTTTGGCCCTTTGGTTACCGGTGAAGAAGGAAACACAGAGGAGGTCTTGTTTCCTTCCTTCTCAACTGAGAACATCTTTCTCAATTACACATAGCCTGAGTAATTATGCAATTTTATATAGTTCTGTATAACTACGGCTCTATTTAATAAAGATTGGAACTTATAATTCACGGAATTAGCTGCTACAAATATGGAGAGTCTGTTCTGTCTTGTTACTGACGCCACACGTTGGCACCATTTTGTACTGAGTCCTCTTTATATTTCTGTATTTTTTCCTGTCCTATACTTAACATTTTCATAACACTGGTTACAAATGAATAAAAAATTAGCACTTGGCTTATCCTAACCAATAATCTTCCTAGTTTCAGAATCCTTAGACTAAAGCTTAGAAGCACCAATACCCCAAGCCAAGGGTTGGAAACCACAGCAGGTCAAACGCCCTTGGCCTGCTTTTGTTAACAGTTTTGCAGGAACACAGCCATAAGCATTCATTTACATACAAAGGCTGCTTTTGTGCTACATGACAGAGTTGAATAGCTAAAACAGAGAACATATGGCCTGCAAAGCCTAAGACTTAATATCTGGACAGAAAAAGTTTATAGACCCCCATGCTAAGTTTAGTATTGGGAGGTCTCCATGCTCTTTCAATGGCAGATGCAACTTAACTACTGTAGTCTCCAAACTTAACTGAATATGGAAGGTGGCCTGATCAGATATCAAATAAAAGAACAATATATATGTATCTTTTTATCTTTTAACCTCCTCCTTGAGAACAGTGACAAGTTTCTGTCATCTGACTAGCTGTCAGTTCAACAACCAAAGTGAAATATCAAGCCACTTCTATGTAAAAGAGACCCCATGAGGGCTTTGTATCTCTTAAATGCCTCAAGTATCCAGTTAACAGGATGTGTTTGCATTTAACAATTAGGGAGACACTTATAAAATTCAACCTTCATGCCTAGTCTCCACAACTATACAGTGAGTGACTGAGGAGCCACTTTAAGAAATTAAGCAACAAATGGTCTCCAACTGGAAACAACTAAAATATCCTTCAATAGGTAAATGGTTAAACCATGTGGTAAATCAATACCATGGAATACAATTTGGCAATAAAAAGAAATGAACTACTGATTTTGTGTGTAGATGCAAATATATATGTGGGTATACATATATGTGTATATACATATATATGTGTGTGTGTGTATACATATATATATGACAACTTGGATGGCTCTCAAGAGGACTGTGATGAATGAAAAATCTAATCTCAATGGTTGTGTATTATGTAATTCCAATTATATAACATTCTCATAATGACAAAATTATCGTGATGAGGAATAGATGAGTGATCCCTAGGGTTAGAGCTGGTTGGGAGTAGGTATGGCTACAAAAGCGTAGCATAAGGGAGACCATGATGATGATAGTTCTCTCTCTTGGCTACAGTGATGTACATAAATCTACACATGTAATAAACTGGTATGGAGCTATTCACATACCATTTTATTACATGTGTAGATTCACATACATCAATGTTGACATTGATACAATGTTCTGATACTGTACCACAGTAACATAAAATGAAAAAGTTGAGGGAAACTGGGTTCAGCCTACATGGACTTCTCTGCACTATTTTTGAAACTTCTTCTGAATATATAATTATTCCAAAATAAAGTAAAAAACAAACAAAAACAAAGAAAAAACCCCACAAACTTGCACATGCAAGAAAACTGACAGCAAGATAAAATGAATCATATGTCAATTTTATTCCAATTCTTCAAAATTTATACTCAATATGTTGTTTCCAAAATGTAGGTCACCCTTTACATAATAATTTTATTATATCATCTTTCCTTTACAGTTTTTTCATTGTTTCTTAATGGTTCTTCAGTAGAATCCAGAATCTTGAGTTGCCCAGTTAGGAGCCTAAAATATGCAAAAAGAAATCAACAGGGTAAAAAGAAAATACTTGTGGAAAAAACTAACATAGAAGAAAGTGACAAAGCGTTTACTTTAGCACCACTCTTGCCAAACCATTGCAAGATCTCAACTCCTGTGATCACTAGATAGATGTCGGATGTTCCACTGAGGACAAAACAAACTTATCAAAATTATTATCTGATATAGTTTTTGGCCAATTAAAATGTATAGCAATAACAGTATCATTAATACTAAAACAATAAAAAATACAAATAAATCCTGAAGCATACAGAAAAAAAACCTCATATGAAAGTTATTTACCAGGCTCAGTTATTCCAAACATGGTTAAAGTATGCAATTCGCATTCTAATGCATCCTCTCTTTCAAACTAAAGGACTATTCTGCGGACACAAATTTGTTCTAAAATTTCAGTCAAACAGGGTTTCTGCATATCCCACAACTGTTTCCTAATGACTTCCCACTCTCCAGTTACACATGTTCATAATGTCTAAACAACATTAAAGATAGTTTAGGATTCCAAAATTATAAGGTCATTCAAGTTTCTTTAATATCTAGTATGCAGGGTCTCTACCAAAATGGGTGATTAATTTTTGATATGAGTATCAGATGAAAGATAATGAAATTTGTATAAGATCAGGACTAATACATATAATAAGATCAACATTTTTACATAACTGTTTCTTTAGATTTAGAAAGAATACACATTTTGAACACTTGAAAGAGGGCTACATATGTAAGTTATCATCTGCCAGTATCAAAATGATGTGTTGAAAACCCTGAGGAAATGAGTTAATGAAGTCACACAGGAAGAGTAAAAGCAAAAGAAAAATAGTTATAATAAACTAGAACACAATTTCTTTTTCAGTTTCCATGTTTAATCCATATAATACAGCTAAGAAAAAATTCATCTCTGTTAAGTAATTTCTTAAACAAAATGTTCATACCTTTAAAGGGAAAAACAAAATCAGCTACAACTCATTGACAGATTTCCAAACTTCATGTAACAATTACATGGTTGCTAAATCCCAGACAGAATAGAAAATGTGTAGTTCTTACCTCTGACCTGCTATTCTGATTAAGTTTCTTCTCAATATTCATGGCCAACATCTGGCTTCTAAAAGAAAGGCTTTTGGTCTTTTCAATCACTTGCTGATAAGGTGAGACTGCATTGTTACCCATAACTACATGACCCTAAAAGGAAACAGGGAAACAGATCCTACAATGTTAATAACTTTTTCAGTAAGTAATGAGCATGACATAACTTTTGCATATATTTTAATGCACTGTATAGAGATGACAATATTTACCAAGCAAGAAAAAAATATAAGGCTGCTGTTGCCTTCAAAGAACTGTTTTACATTTAAACAAAATAAATTATTAAAGGAGGTAATAAAAGGTCCTAGTTAGGAATTCCTAAAAGTAAAATCAGGAACTGACAGTATACAGCATCGCTAACATAATACTCACCAATTTAGAATCAATCTTGGCATCCAGTCTTGCATTTCTAATCAAATTTACAATCCACCTTTCAGCTTCTTCTGGAGTCATGTTCAGTTTATCCGCCAACATGCTAATGAAAAAGTAAAAACAGCAATGTTAATTAACTGGGCCCAAAAACTTAGTTTTGTGTACACAGTCTTGACTCACTCTTTGCACAGAGACTTTTTGGTACTTCTGGATCACCCTTCTCTTACATATCATGACCCCTACTGTCTGATTCGTTCATATGCTTCTGCCTATTGACCTGTACTATGCATGACCTATTCCCTTCACTAACTGGACTGTAAAATCCTTGAGGGGAGGATACTATATTCTGTATTTACAGAAATCCTCCAGCTTCTAGAACAGTACTTTACATTTATACCAGATACTCAACAAGTAATGCTCTAAGGGATTAAAAAGGTTTTATGATGTTTCCTCTATATAAGGGTATATTAAAAGTCAGCCCTCCATATCCACAGGTTCCGCATCCTCAGATTCAACAAACGATGGATAAAAAATATTTGTGGGGAAAAAAAAAAAAAGAAAAGAAACCCAAACCATAAAAAATAACCATTCAAAAATAATACAAATGAAAAACCAATACAATACCTGTTTACACAGTATTTACATTTTTTTTTTTCTGAGACGGAGTTTCGCTCTTGTTATCCAGGCTGGAGTGCAATGGCGTGATCTCGGCTCACTGCAACCTCCGCCTCCTGGGTTCAGGCAATTCTCCTGCCTCAGCCTCCTGAGTAGCTGGGATTACAGGCACACGCCACCATGCCCAGCTAATTTTTTGTATTTTTAGTAGAGATGGGGTTTCACCATGTTGGCCTGGATGGTCTCGATCTCTTGACCCCGTGATCCACCCGCCTCGGCCTCCCAAAGTGCTGGGATTACAGGCTTGAGCCACCCCGCCTAGCCCATAGTATTTACATTTTTAACAGAACCTAGAGATGATTAAAAGTATGAGATAATATGTATACGTTACATGCGAATACTTTGCCATTTTATTTAAGTCACTTGAGAATCTATGAATTTTGGCATCCAGGAGGGTCCTAGAACAAGTCACCCAAGGACTAAGGGACAACTATGTAATGGTTATACAAAGTAAACCTTTGTATAAAAAAGACATGAAAAAGATACTTGCACACATATTTATAGCAGCACAATTCAAAATTCACTTAGAAACCAACCTAAGTGCCCATTGACAAACAAGTGGATAAAGTAAATGTGGTATATATAAACCATGGAATACTACTCGGCCATCAAAAGGAAGAAAACAATGTCTTTTGAAGCAACTTAGATGAGTTGGAGGCCATTATTCTAAGTGAAGTATTGCAGGAGTGGAAAATCAAAAATCTTATGTTTTCATTTATAAGTGGGAGCTAAAAGTTATGAGCTAAAATCTCAAAATTCACCATTATATTATTCATCCATGTAACAAAAACCATATGTATCCCAAAAGCTACTGAAAAAGTAAACCTACTATAAGGAGCATCAGTTATAAGTATAATCTCAGGAAAAACATAAGTAAAACTCAGGGGCAATGTGTATGTTTATGCTATAAACTGTGGGGGCACTCCCTGGAGCTATATACTATATAGCCTATATGGCCACTGAATTTCAGATAAAAGAGATAGAGGGAAAGGACCAGACCATGAAGGTCTTGATGTAAAATACTCTTTGATATCAACCAATCTGCATTTTGTATTTTTTCAATTTTATGATCAGGTTGAAGAAGGCCATTGCAATGCTTAATTTACCAGAATTAAAAACACACCAGTCTTAGTAGGTTGTCAGTTCAGCTGATGGAAGAGTACCTACATATGCATGTATAATATTCAAGAGTATGTAGTATAAATACATGTATACATGTGTGTTTATACACACTGTCTTTTATCTTCATTGAAACTATCAAGTCTCAGCTAACACAAGACCCTCCATAAACTTCCTAAAACACCTCTCCCATCTGTGATACATCATTTGAGTGCTTTCATAGCACCTATTTTTGCTGTAGTTGTTTTATTGAATATCTGCTTCCAAGGCAGACTGCATACATGCACACAAAGTGCACACACCATATCCTCCTCATTCACTGCCATTATGTCCAGCAATTAGTAGCATGATGCCTCGTACACAGGAGACAATAAATATTTACTGTCTGACTGTTTCCTATTCTAGTCACTTGTAATGGTTTTAATGAGTATCTGTTTCCAAGGTAAACTGTATACATGTAAACAAACTGCATGTACCGTATCGTCCTCATTCATTCATTGCCATTATGTACAGCAATTAGCAGCATGATGCCTTGTACACAGAAGACAATAAATTTTTACTGTCTGATTGATTATTCTAGCCATTACCCTAGCTCAGGTTCCATTACTATTTCTTAGTCTTCTAACTACTTTACCTCTTGAGTCTCTTCAATCTATCTTACATAGCTACCAGATTAGTTCTACAACCCAACTATAGTAGTTCCCACTTATCTGTAGTTCCACCTTCCTTGGTTTCTGTTATCAGCAGTCAATCCCAGTCTGAAAATATTAAATAGAAAACTCCAGAGATAAACAATTGGTAAGCTTTAAATTGTATACTGTTCTGGGTAGTAGGATGATACCTTGTGCTGTCCTACTGTCTCACCCAGGACTTGAATCATTGTTTTGTCCAGCATATCCATGCTGTATACACTACCCACCCATCAGTGGTAGTAGCTATCCCAGTTAACAGATCAAGTGTCCTGGTATCACAGTGCTTGTGTTCAAGGAACCATTATTTTACTTAATAACAGCCCTAAATTACAAGAGTAGTGATTCTGGCATTTTGTTATAATTGTTCTATTTATTGTTGTTAATCTCTTACTGTGCTCAAATTATAAATTAAACTTTATTATAGGTATGTATGCAAAGGGAAAAACCCAGTATGTATTGGGTTTGGTACTACCTGTGGTTTTAAGCATCCTCTGGGGGTCTTGAAACATACCCCTTGGATAAGGGGTACTATTACACCCAGTTTATTCCCAAATTCCTTTCAATACTTTTAATTTTCCAAGTTCTCATTATTCTCTTTCATAAATATGCCAGCCAAACCAATCCTTTTCCTTTGCTAACATTCACTCAACAAAATATAAACTGTGTTACATGCTGTTGACAAAATATCCTCTGTTGCCAGCCTTTATGGAGTTTAAGTCAAGGGGGTCTTGACTTAAACGTCACTTGATCTTGGGAGGCAGAGGTTACAGTCAGCTGAGATGGTATCACTGCACTCCAGCATGGGCAACAAAGTGAGACTCCATCTCAAAAAAAAAACAAAAAAAAGAAAAAGAAGAAGTGGAAGGAACTATCTATGTGAGATGCAAAAAGGTCTACCAGTTCTAAGCTGGAGATTTGGGAACAGCTTATCTAAGGAAATGGTATTTACTCTTAGATTTTTAAGACAGTAGAATGAAAATTCCATTCTAGGCTGGATGTGTGGCTCACACCTATAATCCCAATACTTTAGAAGGCTGAGGCCAGAAGTTTGAGACCAGTCTGAGCAACACAGTGAGATTCTGTGCACACGTGTGCATGGACACACACACACACACAGGCTGAGCAACACAGTGAGATTCTGTGCACATGTGCACATAGACACACACACACACACACACACACACACACACACACACACACACACGGGCTTGGTAACTTGCACCTACATATAGTCCCAGATACTCGAGAGGTTAAGGTGTATCATTTGAGCCCAGCAGTTCGAGACTGCAGTAAGTTATGACTATACCACTGCACTCCAGCCTGGGTGACAGAACAAGATCAACAAGTTCCTGTGTCTCCATAAAAAATAAAAAGCAGGCCAGGCTCAGTGGCTCATGCCTGTAATCCCAGCACTTTGGGAGGCCGAGGCAGGTGGATCACCTGAGATCGGCACTTTGAGACCAGCCTGACCAACATGCAGAAACCCTGTCTCTACCAAAAAAATACAAAATTAGCTGGACGTGGTGGTGCATATCTGTAATTCCAGCTACTCGGCGGGTGAGGCAGGAGAATCGTTTGAACTGGGCAGAGGTTGCAGTGAGCCAAGATCATGCCATTGCACTCTAGTCTGGGTGACAAGAGTAAAACTCTGTCTCCAAGAAAAAAAAAAAAAAAGACAAGACAATTCCACCTTATGTAATAACTCCAACTAGAATTCTCTATCTTCCCTCTTTCTGTATATCCATACTTTGTAGGATCTTTGCACTGTTCTTGTTGATCACTTATTTGTTGACCTTTACTTAGTGAATCAAGTCAAAGAAAAACCTGAAATAAGGGTCAAGGAATAGTAGTATATTATTTATGGCATCTCAGTTCATCTAAGCTATTGATTATCACTCTGAATTAAAGAATGTGGAACTAGTCTAGTTTGTTTTAAGTAACATGAAAATAAACAAAGTAAAAGAAACTAAGTATTTAACAGGCCTGTAATCCCAGCACTTTGGGAGACCAAGGCAGGAGTATTGCTTGAGCCAGGGAATTTGAGACCAGCCTGGGCAACACAGCAAGACCCTGTCTCTACAAAAAGCAAAGAAAAACAAAAAGCAAAAAATTATGAAGAGAAATAATCAAAATCTACACTTCTTTTCCAATCTAGCAATTTTATACAGAATAGTACAGATTTTTTAAATAAAAGTGTAATGTCCTATCAAAACTTAAAAGATAAAAAGTTGCCCCCCTGGTGGTCTAGTGGCTGGGGGAAAAAAATTTAAAAAACAATTAAAAAAAAAAAAAAAAAAGACAAAAATGCTTACCTCATGTTACTGAATATAATTCAATTTATCAACAAACTAAAAGACAAAATCCAACAACATGCAGAATTTCTGAGAAAAATACCTACCTAGTTCAATCCACATTTTGAATGCCAAGATTTCTAGATTATTTAGATTACATTAAAAATCTCAACCTTGTCTGTAGGCAGCTTAAGGTAGATATTTAAATATGTTCTGTAAATCCCTTATAAATATCTTTAACCTAAGTAGCTCTCCTACTCAAGTGACACACAAAAAACACAATATCGAATATGTTAAATAAGATATGCAGAGAATTCTTAAGGGCT